TGGGGAACATTCCCCTAAAATTTCAGCCTTCTAGCATCTCAGAACCCCGAGTTATGAATTTGCGCGAGAAGAATTTTGGGGGGCCCGTACGCGGGTACCACGCTTACTCGGGGGCTGGATTTGAGCTCATTAGTACCTACTTGGACGGGGGAACATTCCCATAAAATTTCAGCTCTTCTAGCTTTTTCTATGAGTTAGCAGTTTACCCGTAAAAAAATTTGGCGGGGTCTTACGGGGGTACCACGCGGGAAAGACCGCGCATTTTGGGGATAGGGGCCCGTACGTGCATGCAGATTAAGTCCCCAAAGTTTCAGCCCCGTAGCTTTCTCGAGATGAAAAATCGGTACAGACGCGCAGCGCACACACACACATACACACACAAACACACACACACACACACACAGACAACCTCTCGTCAATATGCGTTTTTCGCATTGCATTGCTGCAAACACACACACACACACACAGACAACCTCTCGTCAATATGCGTTTTTTGCATTGCATAACTGCAAAAAAAAAGCGTAAAAACCAGTACTAGTGACAAAATATAGGCAAAAAGTCAAACTCCCCTCCCTATTCAGCTTGCTTCAAACACACACACAGACAACCTCTCGTCAATATGCGTTTTTCGCATTGCATCTAAAAAACGCATATAAGTAGCACCGTGCACCAGAACGGCCGGTGCGATTATGCGTTTTGTGCAATTCTGTCCAGCGAACGATCTACTGTTGATGATTTTCACTGCTTTGCACTTTGTGTAAAAATAGTAGAAATGTTGAAAATTAGTTAGAAATTTCACGCATCAGCATGTGAGAGCTGAATTTGAAACCTCGGAAGGTGAATATCCTTCCAAACTTCAACCTCCTAATTTTCCGGCTTTCGAATGATCACTGAGACGAAACTTTCACGCGGTCGTGCGTGAGACCTAGACATACTTAGGAACTGAATTCGAGTTTGTAAAGTCCCTGCTTAGGCAAGAAGCATTCTCCTGAAATTTTCTAACTCCTAACTTATCTGGCTTCCGAGATAATGATTTTTCTCGCCAAAACTTTCACGAGGCCTTAAGTAATACCTGAGAAAAACGTGAGATGGCGGGATTTAAATTTGCGGGGTTGCATGTGGGCAGAGCACACTAACGCATAATTTCAGCTTCTTGGCTTTTATGGTTCCCGAGATAATAATTTCTCCTTCAAAAATTTCATGGGTCCGTACGTGTCACCCGCCGGTAGGGGTGACATGCCCACAAAATTTCAGCCTACTAGCTTCTGCCGTCCCCGTGACAATAACTTTACCCCGCCAAAACTTTTACGGAGCCCCCTTTCTGAGAAAAGTTAGAAATCTACGGATGTGTGACTTGTTTACCGGTTTGGCCGTGTCTCTGATATCGAAATATCCGCTCACGCGGTAGCAGCAGACGACTTGTAGATATTTGAAAATAATTCAACAAAAACAGCCTGTTTGTAAACAAACTGGCGTAAGATTACGCAAAATATAAATTTTATTTTTTTCACTTTCTTTGGAGTGGAAGACTGGGATGTGCCTCAATCCAGCATCCTATAGTGGGGACGGAAAAGTAATCTACCCCCTCCCCCCGACCAAATGAGCAACCCACTCGGATTCATCGGCAACATTTATACAAGTGATTAGTGAGCGACGAGTTGACTTCCGTCGTCCGGAAAACTCCGGACGACATGTGCCCTACGTGGTACCATGTCACATACGCTGCGTGCGTAACGCTATTTTTGGAAGAACCTGAGCAAGGTTTGTGAAACCTCTAAATCAACAGTTGAAAAGTTCGAAAACATCATTTTGAAAAATTTTGCCCGTTTTTGAAAATCTGGCAGATTGCCAAAATCTAAGCGGATATAGCGTTGTAAATTGAAAAATAAGTAGCGATTTCATTTTAGCCGGTGCGGTCATGTGTTTTCCCGAGTTGAAAGCTGCGGACAAGTTGCTGCGGACACACACACAGATAAGCCCGTGACAATATGCGTTTTATGCAGCTGTTGCGCAGCACAAAACGCATAATAATGATGCCATTTGATAATTAAAAAAAGCCGCTACCTAGCTGGGTTGATTTCGGACATTTTAGTGCCAACAGTGCGGATGACTTTATGACCCAATGTCACCAAACCAACACAAATAGCTAGAACGCCGTAAAGCAGCACATAAATTGGTGTTTCTCCCTCTTGCTGAACATCCATTTCTGTGTATATTGATAAAAGTGCCGCTAGTGGTGCTATCGCATTTCTAAAATTCATCAGCAGCATGAACTTTCGGACAATTCGCATGCAGTTCTTTGATAATGGTACTTTTCAAAAGAGCCAATCACTAAAAATATCAAAACCGCTCAAACTGTAAATGTGGGGATCCCTTGTTAGTGACGTCATTAGCAAGCTCCTACCACTCCGTGCGCAGTTATGCCAAGCCCTTCGCTCTGGGCTGCATGTCCCCAGTTAGTACCGACCGTCTGTTTTTATGCATGTAGGCCACCTTTTCAGAAACCGCCCGAGTAGTCGTTTATTTCTCGGGGATACCACTCACTAATGCGTACGCCCACTGGTTGTGGGCAAGGCAAGCAGGATGTTACGTTCATCGATTTTATTTTCTCCCGTGGCCACAATGCTGTTCTGCATGCCACCTAACTGACGAGAACCTGATTGTTTTTATGCCCGCGAAGAGATGGCAAACCATCATTGGCACGACTGCTTCCTCCGTCATTGCCAACGCTTGCTCTTCGATCTTCATGAGTGACCTTGTCCTACATTCTTACGTCATTGCCTTCAACACATTGGTATTGAAGAGGTGTGCAGGGCCCTTCCGGTTTAACGAGTTGGGAACATCGGCAGTGCTGAGGAATTTGCATCAATTGGTAGCCTTCAACGTGCAATCTTTGGCTGAAGATTGTGGCGCATATTTACTTTTTATCCGAGATAGACATAACTGTCAGCTTCTTCTAGATCCATACCGTCCATCTGCAATCTTGTGGTGGCCATATCAGGACTTTGCATCACCTTCGTTTTCTACGCAATTTCGGGACTCACTTCCTTGCTCACTGCGTCGATCTCCTGCACCAACACGTTATGCGAAAGTAGTTGCCAATAAGAACTATGTCATCAGTGAAGAGTGATTTATTTGCTCGATGCTGATCTTCAGACCATTCTTTAGTTCCCAAAATACTATTTTTTGAGGAGCTTGAACAGTACAGGACTAGTTTAATTTGTTTCTCTCTCGATCGGTGTGCGAATTGAAGTGGAAAAAAGTGTTGTTTCTGTCCAGCAGTGTACTTTTGCCTCCTTAACGATTTCCAAAAGTTCCCAATAATTCCTTCATCTAAAGAACACGTAACACAGCTACCAACTTCACGTTATCGGATGCTTTTTCGCAAACCGATGAATAGGACTCAGGAAAGAAGTTGGTACTCCCTTGCACTTTCCAGTGGCTATTTTTTATACGAAAAATATTTTATTGGCGAATTTAAGCAGTTCTAAAATGTTAACAATGCAGACTAAAATAATTCGGCTTAATGAAAATGCACTCACGCGACGTCATTCGCGCCATGCGCAAATCCAGCAAAACACGCGGTGACAGCTTGAATAGATCCAAAAACAAGTGTTGTTTTTGCATCCGGCTTCATCTGTTTATCGGGCAAGAACCATCGAATAAAGTTTTTTACTGCTTAACAAATACTATATGACTAAACAAGCAAGGAGAATTCCATGGACAGAAGAAAGTGCAGGATTAAAGCAATTGAGTGACAGAGAGGGAAGCGAGAGGATGAAAAAAAAGATCAAATGGGATTAAGCTCTTTTGTTGATAAATTTTTTTAAATAAAACATACCAAAGCCCAGACGTCTTTTGTCAGTTCCATGGGTCGTTGTTTTTTTGTCTCGTGCAGTCGAACAAAATCCATTACTTGCGGGCACAAAGATTTCTATGATTCCGCCTGTAAGAGCATATGTGTACTTTACATCCTCCATTCTGCTGCGTTTTGGTACCGAGTCAGCTCGCTGTTCAGTTTGGGCATTATTGTCGTGCTACTCTTTGCCCAAAATTGAAGGCAGTTCTTGAAGATCTTTGAATATAGCTGCTAAATTTGGGTAATTCTGGAACCATTGAATAAGTAGCGGATTCCGTCGATTTAGCGCATAATCTTGCGCTCAGATTTAGCCAAAACCATAAGTCCAAAATTCTCAAACAGTTTCTAGACCTTTTTATGCCCCTAATTTTTGGCATGTGATGCAAACCTACCACTGGAGGTGTTGCACCATAATTCGATTGGCACATTCACCTAATGTGAGTTCAAAATGATAAAATCCAAGGATGTATGACCATGCCTGTACAATGCAGCATGGCGTTGCTTAGTACCTTGAATTTTGATTGGGACTTGCTGGGATATATCGGTCACACTTGCGGCTCTTGATTTCTGAACTTGTTCCGCTTCTTTCTCTGTAATAAGTATAATTTCACGTATTTCACATGGAGATCGAATTCAAAACCGCCTTTGTATTTTACTCACTAGCAGCGTGCGTCAGGAGGCCAACGTAATCATTTGTTAATTCTATAAATTACCGTAGGAGTTAAAAGTTGTGAGATCTAGGAATAAGAAGAAGTCACAAGCTCAACCTAAATTTGGAGATGACTAATCAGCAAGTGCTGAAAATCGATTTCATGTTCTTTAGGCTCCAACGATCTGGCGGTTTTCCTATTAAAATTACTAGATCGTGATTTTTAGCCGATTCTTGAGATAAATCCCATACAAACTCGGAGAAGGGTGAGAAACTTTTATTTCGCTCTGTATAAGTTAAATCATTTGCGACGCGCACCGGGCGGGCCCGTGTGATCATGCGTTTTTGCAGTATTTCGTGCTGTAATGAGATCGCTCAGAAAGCCAGTAGCTAGAAATGTGTGACATACTGCTCCTTGAAGTCCGATAAGTTAATTGTCTATGCGATAGGTGGACAGGGAACATCCCCTTAAAATTTCAGTCTCCTAGCTTTCTTGGTCCCCGAATAAGCCATTTTCCGCCAAAAAGTTTCACGGGACCGCACGTGACAACCACGCATGTCTGGGGGCTAAATTTCATAAATCCAAGTTTTACACGGGCTGGGGACATTCCCTGAAAGTTTCAGCCTCCCAGTTTCCCTGGTTCTCGAGTTAGCAATTCTTCCCGCCAAAAATTTTCACGGGGCCGTACGTGAGAACCACGCACACCTGGGGGCTGAATTTGAAATCTTTGAGTTCCAGGCGAACGGGGAACATAACCCCATAATTTCAGCTTTC